GGTGGGAATCGGGGTTCTGTTAAGTTGATACAGACCAAAGGTTTTCTAGTCTGGATGCTAAGTCTGATACAGAAAGGCTAAAAATAGCCTCTCAGGAGCTAAGTCTGGCACAAGAAAAACTGTAATTAGGACTTGCAGCACTCCAACTTCCCACAGTGTTGAAACCCGTCACTCACCTCTGCAGGCATGGCTTCTCCCTCATGGCAGACGCACACGCACACACACACATGCACACAAACATGCACATGCACACATATACACACAAACACACACATGCACACGTGCACACACATACACGCGCACACACAAACATTTGTTTTTCTTTGAGACAGTGTTTCTCTGTGTAGCCCTGCCTATCCGGAACTCACTTTTTTTGTTTTTGTTTTTTGGTTTTTTGAGACAAGGGTTCTTTGTAGCTTTGGAGCCTATTCTGGAACTTGCTCTGTAGATCAGGCTGGCTTTGAACTCACAGAGATCCACCTGGCTTTACCTCCCAAGCGCTGGGATTATAGGCATGCGCCAATATTGCCTGGTTTGTTTGTTATATTTATATATTATGTGTGTGTTGGGGAGTGTCACACATACATGTCAAAAGACAGATCGCAGCTTCAGGGGGCCCTGGGATTGAACTTGGGTTGTCAGGCTTGGTGGCAAGTGCCTTGAGCCACTGAGCCCTCTCGTGGGCTGGAAAGAAGAACGGTCTCTCCAGGTTCAGAGTGGAGGAATAGTTGTCACTTCCAGCTGGAAACCCTGCTGGTGCCAAAGACAAAACAGCTGTGGCTCGGCGGGCAGTTCAGCCCCCAGTGTTAAGCCAGGTGTGGAGATGGATGTCACACATCTGCCCTTGCAGCCCTGGAGTAGTGGATGCTGGAGGGTCAGGAGTTCAAGGTCAGCCTCAGCAGGGCTCCTGGAGACCCAGGCTCCAAAAATCTAAGAAACAAAACTAGGAGTGGAGTCAGGCACCCCAAAAGCTCAACTGAAGGAAAGATGATGGGGTGCCTGAGACAGACATTGGCTAGGGTACCCCAGCTCTCAGATCTGTCTCCCTCCCTCAGAGTGTGGGTCTCCATGTGGGTTTGGCCTCTGGCTATGGCAGGTAATGACTAGGAAAGGCTGAGTCTCTGGAGGTCTCACCTGAGGGACATGTGTGACTCTCACCCATGTGATCCTGGTGTGAACACCACTCAGCACTCTCAGCCCTGGATGTCTGCTGGAGTCAGTTGAGGTGTGGGGGACAGAGCCCCGGAAAGAGAAAAGCCTAGGTCCACAGAGCGGAAGAAGACATACTCTCTGACAAGAAGGGACCACCAAGGCTACCTCCTCAAATCCAGCATGTCACCTGTGCTGAGGGCTGAGGGGGCAGTTCTCCCCAACAGGCCGCCACTGTCCTGCCTCACATCTGGGCCACCAGCTCCTGAGACCTTACGTCAGGAGCATGGAGGAAGGCCTGATGGGGAATTGGAGCCTGGGCCCACCTGGCTGGGTCTGTCCCCTCTTGCTCAGAGTGGGGGATACCGGCTGCATTCTTAGTGAGTGGACCTCAAGTGCCATCTCTCCAGGTGCCAATCAACTGAGGCCTGGGTCCCCCAAGCAGAACTTAACCAGCCAGACTCCATCCTGGTGATTCCAGGTGAGGTGTGGTGAGGTCACAGCTTCCCAGTCAGTGAACGGAGTGGTGGGGACAGAAGAGGGAAGAGATTGCTTAAGGTCACAGTGAGTCAGGGCAGCCAGGAACCCTGCCCAGAAATGGCTTGCAGCCTCCCACCCTTCCTTGCCTGCCCATTGGTTGCTAGGCAACTGGAGAGTTTTTCCTGTAAACAAAGGGCGCTTCCCCAGCAGATCCACCTGGCCCCAGTCCAGCCCCAGCCAGCTCACTGCAACCGGCTGGTGAGAGAGCCGCTTCCCCTGCAGTCCTGGAGACCGGAGGCGGCTATGGCCACTGTGACCTGCACTGCAGTCGCTGCACTTGGCACTCTGTCAAGGTCAAGGAGAAATGCAGGGGTGGACTCGGGACTGGCTTGGGGCACTCCAGACTCCTCTTGGACCACTGACCAGTGCGTGACAGAGCTGGGCCACCCAGGAACCATGATCGAGACTCAGAGAGGCAGGATGGCAGGGTGCTCACAGCCCATCCGGAGAGAAACCAGGGTCAAGAAAAGCAGAGAAGCTGAGTACCTGTGCGGAAGACTCCCATGCGTGCCCTCACACTGGCGCTAAGTCCCTCAGACCCTCACAGACATGCACGCACACATGCACACATGCATGGACAGACACTTCTGCATTCACATGCAGGTGTGCATTGCGTGCGTACACGCATACAGAAACACACAGAGGCACAGTCATGCTAACACACCTCCTGTGTAGCCTGTCACCTGTGGTATGCATCCATGTCCTTCCCTATTACATGCTGAGCTTGAACATACACACTCGAATCACACACTCCTCGCCTGCCGTCTCCAGCATCACTCGTCCTGGGCCAGGAGAGGACCCAGTGACAGAGGGCTCCCACCCTGAGTCAGGGATGGAACCAGACCTGGTCTGTCCCTCGGGGCTGGCGGCCATTCACCACCCTCTCCCCTTGTAGTGTTTGTTTCTGAGACAGGGACTCAGGAAAAGCCCTGCTGGCCTGGAACTCAGAGACCCTTCCTCGTGCTGGGACCAGAGGCATGGTCCACTGTTAGACTTGCGGTGCCCAGCGGGTGGAGCATGCAAGGTGTGAAGTCCCAGCTTCACAGAAAGCAGGTGCTGTGGCTCGCGCCTGCCATTCCAGCACTCAGGAGGTAGAGACAGGAAGGATTAGGGCTTGGTCAACCTCAGCTACATAGGGACTTGGTTTTTCCAAGACAGCGTTTCTCTGTGTAGTCCTGGCTGTCCTGGAACTCACTCTGTAGCCCAGGCTGGCTCCGAGCTCAGAGCTCCACCTGCCTCTGCCTCCTGAGTACTGGGATTAGAGGTGTGCCCACCATGCCTGGCCTACATAGGGTTTTGAAGCCGACGTAGGCTACAGGAGACCCTGGCTCAGAACTAAAGTTCTCAGTCCACAGTTCTCATCTATTTTCTGAGAACTCTGGAGTTTTTGTTCTTGGCCAGGGTGAGTAAGACACCTGCCTGGGTGGGCCCATGCTCACACACTGTCTCCAAGTCTCTCAGATGAACACGGCAAAGGAGCTGGGGGGAAGAGGGAATTTCAGTAGGCCTGTCTGGAGAGCGGCTGAGGTGCCTGTCTGGAGAGGCGCTGAGGTGTTTGTTACTCAGACATGGAAGTAGCCAGGTGTTAGTCATTTCCTTCTTTTTTTGTTATTTTGTTTTTGTTTTCCGAGACAGGGTTTTTCTGTAGCTTTGGAGCTCTTGTAGACCAGATCGGCTTGCTTCTGCCTCCCTAGTCATTTCATTCTTTTTTTTTTTTTTTTTTGTTTTTTTGTTTTTTTCGAGACAGGGTTTCTCTGTGGTTTTGAAGCCTGTCCTGGAATTAGATCTTGTAGACCAGGCTGGTCTCGAACTCACAGTCATTTCATTGTTGTGAGACTTTGGTGACAAGTTTTATTTGTTTGACTCAGTAGCCCAGGCTGGCTATGAACTCCAGCCCTCCCCCGCTTCTCCTCCCCCCCCCCCACACACACACACCTCCGCCCCAGTCGCTGGGAAGCTAAGCACGTGTTTTCTCCTTGGTTCTGGAATGCAAGGAACTCGGGTCCCCCTGCCTTCAGGGGAACGCTTCACCGACTTATTCATTCAGCACTCCTTAAAGCTTCTTACTCCTGCGGATGTATATACAAGAGATTTTTCTTACAAAATGTTTTGTTCCGCTTTTCTAGCCCAGGGTCTGATGCAGCCCAGGCTAGCTTCAGACCCCTTATCTTGACCGCCTCACGCTTCTGTCTCCACCTCCTCGGTCCTCCATGGCTGTGCCCCTGCTCTGCGCGGCTCTGGCGCCATCTAGTGTTCGCCTCGGGGCAGCGCAGGCAGGCGTGGAACCCAGCGGGTTTATCGTGGGGGCACACTCTTTTAATCTGTTATGTCTTTAAACATTAAAAAAAAAAAAAGCATTAGGATTAGGGACTGAGAGACGGCTCAGCGGTTACAAGCGCCGACTGCTCTTCAAGAGGATCTGGTTCCGTTCACACCCAGCTTGGTGCGTGCACACATGCACGCAAACACCTGCACACGTGAAATAATTAAGATTTTTTTTGTTGTTTTTATTTTTTGAGACAGGGTTTCTCTGTAGCTTTGGAACCTGTCCTGGAACTAGCTCTTGTAGGCCAGGCTGGCCTCGAACTCACAGAGATCCGCCTGCCTCTGTCTCCCGAGTGCTGGGATTAAAGGCATGTTCCGTCACTGCCCAGCATAAATAAGATTTTTTTTTAAGATAAAAATTAAATAATCAACTTTAGGCAGGCAAAGTGCAAGTGCCGACACTGCAGAACTCGGTACAGGGACAGTGGATGCGGCCTGGCGGAGACTCTGCGGTAGAGTTCGGAACTGACCAGGAGCCTCAGGAACAAGGAAGGCTGTGGGCAGGATGGCCAGCCAGAAAGGCGCTGGCCCTGGGCCTGGGATCAACCCTGGAAGGGGAGAACTGGCTCCTGCAGGTGCCCTACCCCCACACTCACAGGCACATCCCCCCCATGCGCAACACACGCATGTGCATGCACACGCAAATGAATGTAAGTGTATTAGATAGTTGTACATTTGTGTGGCCCGGGAGCCAACTTCTGCTGTCTTTGAGACAGCGTCTCTCTAAACCTGGACTCCAGATCGCCTATTCATCCAGGGCTGGGCTGCAACTGCAAAGTCCAGGCCTGTTTAATACACGGGTTCTGAGATTTGAACTCAGGTCCTCACTGTTTTGGGGTAGGTGCACTATCCATGGAGCGTCTCCCAGTCTCAGTGGCCAGGGTCCTTCAGCTTCAACTCTGGTTTAGAAGCCAACTGCAGAGGTCAGTTCCTGGCGAACCCCAGGGGTGTGGCTGCCTCCTCACCATGATTCTCCTCCACTCTAGGTCCGAGCATGCAGAACTCCGAGGGTGGAGCAGACTCACCAGCATCCGTGGCTCTACGGCCTACAGCCCAGCCGGTGCCAGCCTCCCCACAGGTGACTGTGCCTGCCCCAGCACCTCCACGCTCCCCCATGCGGTTTGGAAGGTGCCACCAAAGGAACCAGGACACAGATCAGAAGAGGCCGACCCCAGCCATCAACTGTTTCTCCTGCACTGGAGCTTGTGTGCTTTAGGAAAAAACCTGAAAACACAGCTGTGAACAGACTCTTGGGGATGGCACCTTCCCTCCTTCTTTCCATCTTCCTCCTCCTCCTTCACTTTCTTCTCCTCCAACTCCTCCCCATCCCCTCCCCATCTCTTCCTCCCCCATCCCCTCCCCCTCTTTTCCCTATCTCCTCCCCATCCCTTCCTTCCGTTAATTAATTAACTTTTTTTTTTTTTTATTTTTCGAGACAGGGTTTTTCTGTGGTTTTGGAGCCTGTCCTGGAACTAGCTCTTGTAGACCAGGCTGGTCTCGAACTCACAGAGATCCACCTGCCTCTGCCTCCCAAGTGCTGGCGCCACCACCGCCCGGCTCTGTCCCTTCCTTCCCATCTCCTCCTTCATCACCTCCTTCTCCTCCCTCTCCTGCCCCCTCCCACATAGACATAGAGCCCAAGGTCTTGAGTGTTTTTCAACCCATCATCTCCTCCCCAACCCCCACCTCTTCACTTCCCTAGTCCCCTCCTCTCCCCAGTTCCCACACCTCCCCAGTCCCCTCCCCTCTCCAGTCCCTCCCCTGCCCAGTCCCCTCCCCTTCTCTCCCCTCACCTCCCCAGTCCTCAGGTCTTGGGCTTTTCAGACAGAATTTCAATCTGTAACCCAGCCCTGCCTCCACAGTTCCTAGGGCCTGGAATTGTGGGTCTCCACCAGCACTGTGCCCTGCAGCTTTCTCTTCTGAGGGCAGCAGAGGTGGAGGCTCCTGTGCATGTGGCCCTTAGTGCTCTCAGGGGCTGTCACTCAGCTTGCTCTCAAAGCTGCCCCAGGCCATGACCACTCCCCGCAGCTCAGGTCCCTGGTTCCTGGCGCGGAGGAAAGCTCGCCCTAGATGTGAGCCGCCTGTCTCACCCAGGTTCTGAGTCAATGGCCATTCCCTGCCAGGCTCTAACTGCCCAACTGTGGGTACAAACTCTGGGGTTCTGTTCTGTTCTGTTGTTACTTTGTTGAGATGAGATCTCACTATGTAGCCAGGGCTGACCTGGGACTGTCAACAATCCTCTTGCCTCAGCCTCACTCCTTCTCTGACCCTGAATACTGGGGTCACAGGGTCACCATCACACCACCCTATCCCTATTATTTGTGGTTTCTGGGTTTTGAGACAGGGCCTGACGGTGCCTGAGCCCCATTTGTATGGTGTTGCAAATGGTGGCCAGAGCATTCTTCGTGTTAGACAAGTGTGGCCACCATACTTTGTGGGGCTTTAAGTGAGTTCCCACTCTTTAGTGCGGACTTGCTTCAAATTCGCAGCTAATTCTCCTGCCTCCGTTTCTTGGGTGCTGAATTACAGGTGCTTGCCATGGTGGGAGGGAGTGTTCTGGACATGGGCACACACACGCGTGTGTAGCGTGTGACTGCCATGGTGGGAGGGAGTGTGTTGGACACAGGCACACGTGTGTTTAGCGTGTGGCTGCCACAGTAGGAGGGAGTGTGCTGGACACGGGCACACACATGTGTGTAGTGTGTGGCTGCCAGGTGGAGAGTGTGGGGCTTCATTCCCTCTCCACCTTATTCCCCTGAGACACGGTCTGTCACAGGAGCTAGGCTGGAGGCAGCCTGCGAGTCCCAGTCCCTGTAGTCTCCACCTCCTGTGTCCTGAGGTCACACTGACTTTTTGTGTGGGTACTAGGATTTGAACTCATGTCCTCACTGGACAGCGAGGGCTCTTACCCAGAGCCCTCTCCAAGCCCTTCCTAATTCCTCTGCCTTGTAAAGATTTAGGTATTTGTTTTATGTGTGAGTGCCCTGTCTGCCTGTGTGCCTGAGGGCCAGAAGAGGGCATCAAGTTCTATTAGACATGGTTGGGAGCCACCTTGTGTCAGGACTCCTGACAGAGCAGCCAGTGCTCTTAACTGCTGAGCCATCTTTCCAGCCCCCACCCCACCCTATGCTTTACTTGAGGTGGAATTGGCACAATATAAAATGAACCACTTGAGAGTAGACTAGTTTTTATCGTATTCACAAAAGTCAGCCATCCTTTCTCTCTAGTTCCAGAATATTCCATCACTTTCCCCCATCAGCAGCTATGCCTCTCTTCCCTGTCCCAAATGACTTCCTGTCTCTGGGTTCTGTCCTGGAGCCCCACGTCAGTCCTCAGGTTCTGTGGTGGGTGTCAGGGCCCCGCCTCCTCCAGCAGTGAGGACAGACACCATGTGTGCCTGCATTCATGTGCTGGGGTCCTATGTAGCCTGTGTCCGTGTGGGGTTATCTGACTGTCGCTCATAATGGCTGCCCCTCACCCACTGGCCCAGCCAGTCCTGACAGGACCTTGTTTGCACCCCAGAGAGCAACAAGTCCTCCTTCTCTCTGCACTACTTAGAAAGTGTGTGTATGCCCCCTCCCCTGCTGCCTCTGCCCCTACATCTGGTCTAACAGCCAAGCTACTGCTCTGGTCAGTGAGGGACAGGGTCAGGACAGGGTTCCCTGCAGGAAAGATCCACCTCCTACCCCAGCTCCTGGGCCTGAACTTCATATTCCCAAAGGGATGTTTCTGTGTATGTCCATACGTGTGTGGCTTGTGTGCCTACCTGTGCCTGCATTCCCATGGGTCCCAGTAGGAGTGGGACAGCCAAGCCATGGTTCTGAGTGGGTCTTCCACAGTGCTGATCTCCAGAAAGTCTGACTGTCCCATTGTCTGTTTCAGAGAGTGCTGGTCCAAGCCACGGGCTCAACTCCCAAGGGTGCCCCGATGCAGCCACTCACACTCCCCAGAGTCCAGCCAGTGCCACCCCAGGTAAGGACCTTTGGCACCTAGCAGTTGTGAGCATCCTCTGGCTTGTGAGCTATTTCCTGTTGTTACTAGTGTCTAGGAAGCTCTGGGAGCCGTGTTAAAGAGAAAAAAAATTCACCACTGGGTGGTTGTGATGCACGCATTTAATCCCAGTACTTGGGAGACAGAGGCAGGTGGATCTCTGAGAGTTTAAGACCAGCCTGGTCTAGAGAGAGAATTCTTGGACAGCCATGACTATACAGAGAAACCCTGTCTCAAAAAGAAAAAAAAAAAGAAGGAAAACCCACTTACCATGCAGTAAGTGAAGGAAAGTGGTTTCTCCTTTGTTCTCAGAGGCACTTGCCCACCGCAGCAGGCCAGGCTGGCCTCGGGCCACCAGAAGCTCTGTAAAAGGCACAGGGCTTGCTGGGCAGTGGCACGCACCTTTAATCCCAACATTCGGGAGGCAGAGGCAGGAGGATCTCTGCGTTTGAGGCCAGCCTGGTCTACAGAGCTAGTTCCAGGACAGCCAGGGCTACACAGAGAAACCCCCATCTGGAAAAACAAAACAAAAAGTCCCAGGGTTAAGTGGCCTTTGCTTCTGAGGGGCTGCCTGGCCATAGGCAGGGAGTGGATAACCGTGACCTTGTCAAAGACTGGGGAAAGTGTACAGATTCCCAGAAAGCACCAAGCACCAGGGGTCTACAGGATCACCAGGACCTGGCCAGTGGCACTGTAGGAGGAGGGCACAGCAACACAAGCACAAGCCTAGAGGCCCCATCCCCCCAGGTCTGGACTGCCCCAGCCAGGCTTCCTCTCCCTGGGGATTCCACTTAGAGCTCAGAGCCCCCAAGTTGTGTGTGGGCATTGTACTCTGGGATCCCAGAAAGTCACCACCAAGCCTGCTGAGATGGTTCCCCATAGACTGGCTGGGGAAGAGGCTGAAGTTTGGGCCACAGCACACTGGACATCTACTCTAAGGCATCTGCCCTGGGCTGGGCTGCCCACCACAGGGGAGAGGAGGTTGTGGGGGTGGGGCAGTAGAGGGGGGGAGGGGAGGGGAGGGGGGAGGGGAGGCAGGATGTTGGGGGGCAGTGGGGTGGTATCACAGGTGCCTCTGTCCCTCTTCAACCCCTCTCCAGACTTGCCTCTGTTTCCAGCCCAGTCCTCATCTTCCCCATCTCCCACCCCTGCAGGAGACCACACACCCTCTGCCATACTTGAAACAGGTAGCTTTCCTCCGTGACAGCCACAGTGTCCCTAGTCTAACCCACATGGGACAGAGGCTGCTTAGCTGCTGCCTAAACCAGGCACAGCACTGCACTTAGGAGGTGGAGGGTCAGGAGTTCAAGGTCATCCTCAGCTACATTAAGTACTTAGGTACATGCATAAATCACTAAGCTCTGTGTCCATGGACCTGAGCAGCATCACCCGTGGCGAGGCCCTGTGTGACTTGCACCTACATGTCGTTGCAGGTGCAGCATGTGTACCCGGCGCAGGTGCAGTACGTGGAGGGCGGGGATGCGGTCTATGCCAATGGAGCCATGTATGTTTCTCCCGTGGGGCCCGAAACACCACAGATTCTTGACTCCAGTGTTCTCTATGGGGCTCGTGTGGAATCATGTCCCCAGGGTCATGTCCTTCCCTGTCCTGAGATCTGATTTCAGAACCACTGGCCTTATGCTCTTCGCTTCTAGAAAACTCTATAAAAATATCAAACCAAAGCCACAGTCCCCTGGAGAACAATAGCCCGGAACTTTCCCTCTAGGCCATTTACAAAGCTTATTTTCCAATTTTTAAGCTGTTCTGAAACTTTCTAGAATTTTCTTTCTTTTATCTCTCTTTTGTGTGTGTGCATACTCTGTGTGTGTGTGTGTGAGAGAGACAGAGAGACAGAGAGAAAGAGCACATGAGTGCAGTGCCCGTCGAGACCAGCAGGGGTGTCACGTCTCCTGGGGCTGGAGTCACAGGTGGCTGTGAGCTGCGGAATGGGTGCTGGGGCCAAACCTGGGTCCTCTGCAGGAGCAGCAAGCCCTCCAGCCCTGTGTCTTCTTGACGTATATTTGTTATAAAATGGTGGCACTTTCTGTCCCACAGTCGAGCGGCCTATGCCTACAACCCAGACCCTCAGCTCTACGCCCCCAGCAGTGCAACGTCTTACTTTGAGACTCCAGGTGGTGCTCAGGTGACAGTGGCAGCCTCGTCCCCACCGGCAGTCCCCTCCCACGGCATGGTGGGCATCACAATGGATGTTGCAGGGACTCCCATCGTGTCTGGAGCAGGAGCCTACCTCATCCATGGGGGCATGGACAGCACAAGACACTCCCTGGCCCACACTGCACGCTCCTCGCCTGCCACGGTATGTACAGAGGCCCTGCGGGCAGCTGTAGCCCTGCTAGCCTAGGCATCCAATGTGTGGGGAGGTGAGCAGGAAGGACCAGGCTGTGAGAATGTTGGGGAGCAGAGCCCCTGCTGGTGGTTCTCACTAGCAGCCTCCCAGGCCCCCCCCCTGCGTGTGTGCACGCGCGCGCGCGCGCACACACACACACACGAGGCTGTGCCGCGGCAGATTGCAGCCTCCTGATGCAGTTCAGTTCACTGCTCTCCTGCTTTACATAAAACTTCATTTGGACTTTGGGGTTTTATTGGAAAGGGGAGCTGAGACAGGGTTTTGCTGTGTCCCAGGCTGGTCCAGAACTTCCCCTGAAGTGTAGGCTGACCTCAGACCCCGTGCTATGCCTCAGCCTCCCAGGTATCCAGCTGCATCTCTGCTTTTGATGTTTATTGCTATTTTATCATTTTTTTTAAATCGCCACACACTCACACCCACTCTCTGACGCAGAGCCCTGTGGGACTCGGTGTGTGTAGGTTCCTGGATTCCTGTGGCACATCCTCCACCAACCCCACAAACACCCTGGCCTAGATGCTGGCAGCTATGGGTCTGTTGTGTCTGCTCTGACACTTATGGCTGTCAGAAGCAGAGTCGCTGGCTGCCCTGGGGCTGGCTTCCTTCCCTCACCATGCAGCCATCAGACCCCTGACTTGAGTCCACAGTTCCACAGTTCCTTATGTGCCCAGCTGAAGGCCTCTGGCTGGGAGCACAGTGAGCAATTCAGGCTGAGCAGTCAGGGTGCTGTCTTTGCTCCTGGGGGGGCGGGGGTGGGAAATGCCTCCAAGTGGGGTTGCTGTGCAGTCCGCCTCTTACAAAGCCACCAATCCACCTCCCATTGGTCAGCGGTGCTTTTAGTCACCTTGTCAGGGAGTCAGAGTTGCTTCCTTGCTGCACTTGGAGCTGTTGACATTTCCTTTCATTCTCTCTATCCTGGCAGGCGAGTCATGGAGCCTCTCTGTGCTGATAATTTGGGTTTTCTAGCTGGGGATGATAGCCAGCCAGGCGCTTGCCCTGTGGTTGAGCATCACTTGAATAGTCTGCTTAGGGCTCAGCTGGTGTCTTCCTGCTCCTGAGTGTGGAGAAGTCTTTATGTCCCAGAAACAAATTCCCGTCAGACACATGATTTGTAAACATTTCCTGTGTCTGTGCTTTCTTTTCTAAATTGTTTAAATTGAGGGTCTTGGGAGACGGCTCAGTGCTTAAATGTGCAAGCACAGGGACCTGAGTTTGGCTCCCCAAATGCTTGTGAGTGCTGGGGAGGCACACCTGTAACTCCAGGGTTCCTGGGGCAAGCTCTCTAGGGATTAGCCATATCCGTGCGCTCTGAGTTTGATTGAAAGAGCCTGCCTCATTGAAGACAGTGGAAGAGCAACCTAAAGCATCATTCCTACTATGGACCTTGTCCTAACCGTGTGCGCACACACGTGCAAATGTACATACCACACATGTGCAAATATTCATGCCAGTTCCATATATTCTCTCTTCCTATATCCATCGAGACCCCAACAGCCAGCCCCCAGGACAGGTGCGAGACCAGGCCACTTGCTTTCTGAGGGCTGTGAGGTTCCAGTACTGTGCTTGCTGCTCCGGCCGACACCTGAGCCTGGCAGCATGGGACACATAGGACCTTGTCCCTCAGTGGGCGGGCTGGGGAGCTTGCTGTGGAGTTCTCACAGCCTAGAGCATGTCCATAAGATGCCGTCGGCTTGGGCAGCCTGTCTACACGCTGGCCATTGTGTCACAGACCCCCCAGGAACTGCAGTGTCCACCGTGTGTCTTGAATATGCAAGCATGAGCACTTGAATCTGGGTCCCCAGAACCCATGAAAGTGCCAGATGGACTGATGGGCATGGGGCCCACCGGTCATTTCTGCCTCTGGAGGGGGAGACGGGATGCTCGGAGCAGCTGTGGTCGACACTGACATCAAATGCACGTACTTTAAAGGGGTAGACAGTATTTCAAGTTAACATTTCTTTTTGTCCCCTTGTATCTTTTTTATCTTTCAAGTCTTTTATTGTTGATATCATTATCATTGGCAGTTTGACATGGAGGAAACTTTGAATGTGTGGACTGGTGTCTTTCTTCAAGTCTGGGATGTTTTCAGATATTATTTCTTCAGATTCCAAGTTGCTCTCCTTCCCCTGCTCTGGAACTATTGGTAGGGTCTTGTTTGTCCTTCTGCTCTTAGCTCCTTGGCCATAGAAAGTTGACCTAGGTCATAAGCCCACTGTGTTGTCCTGGGCCCTCAGGATGGCCCTGTGTACAGACTCATCTGTCCGTATTTGGATGTGTCATCATTTTCTGTAGCAAAGAGTTTCTTCAGCACCATTGTGTGGAAGCCCTAGCTGCCCCATCCTTTCATCCTCCCAGGGTTTGCTGTTGGAGCAGTTGTTGCTGATCAATTGTTTGATTACCTTTCTGGGCCACAGTGAAATCTGTATTCTTTGTCATGGTGAGCCCTGCAATCTGTTGGGAGCCAAGAGCCAGCCGCGTTGATGGACCGGCCCCCAGGGGCCATGTGGATTGTCTGGGTTCTCTTGCTGCCGCCATCTTGTTATTAGATGAGGTGTCAGCCAGTGGCTGCACACTAGTCACTTGAATGAGGTCTCCTGTGTATCCACCGCTCTCCTGGGAGGGGAGGTGGTCCCGACTTTGCCCTCGCTCCAGATGTGGTTATTTTACATGCTGAGTGGGGAACTCGCAGATGTGGCAAGACTCCATGTTGCAGCTAAGTTTAGAGACTGCCAGCCCTGCAGTCTGAGTGTGACATTAGGTGCGGCGATTTGCAGTTAGGAAGGACAGCTGCTTGCTTTTGTGAGGATAAGGTTCTTTCCACACAGTCCCTGTAAGCTGGGAGAGCAGGTGGGGACGCAGAGCAGAGGCCTCGCCACCCTCCAGACCCAGAGATAGAGGAGATCCGCACAGATGTACACGTTCAAGTCCTCTAGTTTTTTTGATGACTAGAGAAGATAGTTATCTTTATTTTTAATACTATTAATGGTGATTATAATGGTCCAATTACTTTTAAAAGAGTGAATACATAGATTTAATTATTCCACCTTAAATTCTGTGGGAAACATTGTTAGGTTTAATTCCTTCTTGTTGCTTGAGAGGTTTGGGTTTTGTTTTGGGAGAGACACATTCACCATCTTCCTGCTCATCCTCCCCCACATCTGGCCTGATAAATATAACCCCTAAAAACAAAATTTGGGCCAGGTGTGGTGGTGCACACTTTTAATCCCAGCGCTCAGGAGACAGAGGTAGGAGGATCTTTGTGAGTTCCAGGCCAGCCAGCGCTGTACAGTGAGACCCTGTCTCAAATTTAAAAAGACAGGCAGACATGGGCTGGAGAGATGGCTCAGTGGTTAAGAGCACTGCCTGCTCTTCCAAAGGTCCTGAGTTCAATTCCCGGCAACCACATGGTGGCTCACAACCATCTGTAATGGGGTCTGGTGTCCTCTTCTGGCCTGCAGGTATACACATAGACAGAATATTGTATACATAATAAATAAATATTTAAAAAAAAAAAAGACAGGCAGACAGACAGACATAGGGTCTGGGGAGTGGATGGTAAGGTGCCTACTGAGCAAGCATGGGCCCTATGAAAGCAAGGCATGGAGGTGCACAGGTGTCATCCCAACCGGGGAAAGGAGCGTCCCTGGGGCCCGCGGGCAAGCCCAGCAGAGTTAGCAGGCTGTAGGTTCCCCAGCGCAATCCCCCCCGCCCCCCTCCCCCCCCCACTCTCTTTCATTGGGGCCTCAGCAGTTTTAATAGTGTAACCGAGTCATCAGCTCAGGTTCAAACCTGCTGTCGCTCACTGTCCCCGTCCTGGACGCCACCTTGAAGGGCTCCTCCACATTCAAATACTCACCCAGTCACCCCTGCTGCCCTCTGCTGCTGGCATGCCCACCTGTGCCCAACACTGGCAGGAGCAGAAGGTGCCCACAGTGCCTTCTGTGCTGTGTGACAGCTCATGTCCTGGCTCATCCAGTGTCACTGTGGGAGCTCACAGGGCCATCATGACTCCAGGGCCTCGGAAGCCGTGGCCTCACTTTTTCTTATCACACTGTCTGTGTTTATTGTGTGTGTGCATGCACGTGCCAGTGCACACTTGTGGAGGTCAGAAGGTCAGAGGGCCACTTGTGGGAGTGGACTCTCTCCTTCCATGGGGATCCTAGGGATTGAACTCAGGTTACCAGGCTGAGGCCTGGCCCCCCTCTCCTGAACACGGTTCTAGGGAGCCTGGTGAGTGAAACCCAGCAGGAGCCTCTGCTGTCCCGGATGTTAGCTCCTGCTGCAGGGCCAGCTCATGCTCCACAGTCACATGGCACTGCCACAGCCAGGCACTGTAACTGCAGCTTGCCCCTCCTCCACCCCATCCAGGGCCTCAGCCCAGGTCACAGCTCCCGGAAGCCTACTCTGTCCCCACTGTGTCCCCCAGCTCCTCATCAGGCATGACTCCCAGTCCCTGAGCAGGGCTCAGTGTCACCTGCTGTCCCCAGCAATGGGGTGGTTTGGGATGTGTAGCTCTGGCCTGGCTCACATCTGAGTTCACACAACTGTGCAGAAGTTTGGTTCTCAGGGCCTGGGGAGAGGGCTTAGTGGTGACGTTTCTGGCCCCTTCAGCCCCCACCTAAGAAACTGGGCAATGCTGAGGAGGATCCCAGGAGCTTGCTAGCGAGTCAGCGAGCCCCAGGTCAGGAGAGAGACCCTGTGTCAAAAGATAAGGGGGAGAAGTGACTCAGTGGCCCTCACAGAGGACCAGGCCTGCAGTGGCTCACAGCCATCTGAAACTCCAGTTGCAGGGCATCTGACACCCTCTCTGACCTCTGCAGGCACCAGGCACATGCACTTACTGCACTGACAGACAGACACGCAAGCCAAACACCCACATACATAAAGAGCAACACGAGTGAGTGAGGAGACCCACTGAGGAGGACCCTGCTGTTTTTCCTCGGCCTGCAGAGAGACGCTCAAGCGGGGCTCCTGGTGCCTTGTGTCCTGTGCTGGGATGTGATGTCAGCCACCAGTGGCCGTCCCATCTGCTGTTGTCTTGGGCTCTGGGCTCAGGAGCATGGTGCAGGGCCTTGCGCCTGCCACAGCTTCACTCGTGCTAACGCCTGCCGCTCGCTGCTGCTGCTGCTGCTGCTGCTGCTGCTGCTGCTGCTGCTGCTGCTGCTGCTGCTGCTGTTATTTAGCTGCTAATACAGGCTGGGGCTGGTGTGGCTGCCTGCTGCTAACCATCTGATCTCCTTCTCTCCCCACCCCACCCCACCTCACCCCACCCCACCCAACCACCCCACCCACCCACCCCACCACCTCTTTGGTTTTGTCCTGTCTCTGTACACATCTGCATAGCTTGAAATGGCGATTGAGACTCTCCAAAAAAGCGAAGGCCTCGCCCCCCACAAAGGCGGCCTACTCAACAGCCACGTAAGTGTGCTGGGGCCCCGGACACCCTGCTCTGTCTGGAGTGCTCACAGATTTTAGAAAAGCCAGGGCTGTGACAGAAGGCTAAGGTGGTTAGCCTTGCAGAGGCTAACGGGAGAGAGAAGATCCCAGAAGCCTTAGCCGGTGAGGAAGACCCATGCCTGCCCTCACACTGCTGCATGGGTTTTAGACTTGAGGATGACCCCATGTCCCAGGCTTGTCCCTGCCAACCCAGACAAAAGGCTGGCAGGTCTTCCACTAAGCTGTGCTGCATAACAATATCCTGTCTTAAATGGAAAAGATGGACCAAGCGTAAGACCTGGGGATCCATTCTCGCTACCATCACAAAGCAGGTGTTGGCAGCTCATACCTCACACTGTCACCAGCACCCTCCACAGCACAGCAGGTCTGAGGCTAGCAGAAGACCCTGGTCCAGTTCCAGCACCGTGTGGAGGTCACAGCCATCTGACTCCATTTCCAGGGCATCTCATGCCCTCTTCTGGCCTTTGAGGGCAGTGCATGCACGTGGTACACAGACTTACGTGCAAGCAAACACCTGTACACATGAAATAAGATACATCTAAAAATAGTGATGATAAAAATTAAATAATGAAGCAAAAATACAACTTTCTAAAGGGGGAAGGTGGTTTGGGACTGGGTGGCCTTGAAGGCCCTCAGCTGTGTAGTTTGGAAATGTAAGACAGGCGGCAGACATTCTTGGCTTTGCTCTGTGATGGAGGCCTCTCAGGGAGCTAAGCGCCCTGGTTCAGACTCAGCATGGCCGGATGGGACTAGAACACCATAGGGCTCGGTGTTTGGGGGGCTGAGAGGGAATGTTCAGCTCTCTAACACCCCCAAATGCCTCCTGTCCAGCAGATGGGCCTCTCGTGCTTTGGTATTTATTTACTCAGAAGCAGGACCTTGCTATGTAGCCCAAACTGGCCCAAACTCCACATACTCCTACCCAGGGTTGGGTGTAGCTGCTGGGACCACGGGCCTGACTGTTAGGTATTTGGTTTTTTGTTTATTGAGACAGACTTTCCTGTGGCCCAGGCTGGCCTGGGTTTCACTATGTGTCTGAGGCTGGCTTTGTACGTGCAAGCTTCCTGTCCCAGACTCTTGAGGGCTGGGAAGACAGGAGTGTGCCACCATTTCTGACCAGGTTGGACTGTGGCCATTGGCATTTCCCTGAGGCTTCTAACATCTGCTTTTTGTCCAGCTTGATCCTGTGAATCCTCTCCCCCCCCCCCCATACATTCCTGATGGTCCAGGTTCACAGTGGACTGGTGTAGGAGGCTGTGACTCTCTGGGAAGAGGGGCAGATGCTGATCTAGAGAAAGGTCTAGAAGTCTTGAGGGTTTATAAGGTTGGTGCTGTCCCAGGCAGTGTGTGGCAAGTATTCTGTCTCAGGAGGCAATGACAAGGACATTTCCTTCCTCTGGGGTTGGCTCGACCCCTCCAGGATGAACAGCCCCTCTACTGCTAGATGGTGTCCTCCTGGGGACAGAGTCCAAGGAGCCTTTGGCATGTTCCAGGGAAGGGCCACACACCACCCAAGTTACACCTTGAGGGGAAGCCTGGGATTGGCCACAGGCTCGGGCTGAAGGCAAATGACTGTGACCACCAACAGCCAGAGGAGGCACTCTGAGAAAGCCATCTGGGGAGACAGAGCCCTTAAGGTGTTGTGTCTGTAGGACAATCAAAACGTTTGCGGGGACACCTGCAGCCTCCACCCCAGAGATTCCCTGCAGGCTCCTATGGACAAGTGTCCCCTCCTTTCTACGACCCCTTACCTTGGACTTTGGTCCTTAAGTGTTCTTCGTGCCAAGGTGCTGGGCACCTGTATGAACAACTCACGGAGCTATGAGGAGGTCAAGGGCCCTGATGTGTGAGAGCCAAGTTCTCGCTGGATCCTTGTGCAGCGATGGGCCCTGTGGCATCGGGCCGCGCTCGGGCCGGATCATGCTCCCAGAGGAGTGAAATGACCGCATGGCTAGCACTGGACTAGCGCTGGCCTGGCGGTCCTCAGTGTTCTAGCAAGTGGGAGGCCCATGGATGGCCCTGAAGTACTGGGTTCTGCATCAGGATGGGGAGGAGAAAAGGACACTGTCCCCAGCCGGTCAGAGGTGAGCAGTGAAGCCAACTGTTAGGCGTCAGGATGGACCGAGAGCCCTAGCACTCTGTCCCCAGGACCTCTACTCCTGAGGCACAGCACAGCTGAGAGCCTGGCACTCTGATCAGTGCCAGCCATGTCAGACTTGTGACAGGAGGGCTGGGTGTAGCTGCTGGCCTGGGCAAGCAGGGTGGCAGTATGGCCGGGAGCCCTAGCTCAGTGCTCGGAGATCTGCATGCCTCTGATGGGTGAGCAGCCTCGGAGGCCAACTCCTACTCAGCCCCTTAAGCCCGCCTGGTTTACCCAGAGGTAGAGCCAGGCCTCCACCTCTCCCAGACTGTGGCCTGCCATCTCCAGAGAGCCAACTCTTGGTTCTGTAGTGCCAGAAAAACATGCCTGGGCTTCTGAGCTCTCCAGACACGGATGACTCCAGCCTTCTGTCCACTCTGCCAGCTGCCCTGCAAGCGTGGCGCCAGCATTTTTGTTTGGAACCTCTGCTGTGTCCCCAGGGCAGCCCTTTGACTTGGGTTTCTGATCTACGATGAGCATGTTCCCAGGGTGAGGGAGGAGGGACACGGGAGGAAGGAGGCCAGGGGGAAGCCACATGGGTGTGCATCGGTTGTCCCAGGGACACTTGCCTGACCCCAGAGTACACCCCCTGTTTAGAGAGGATCACAACCTGCTCCCCTCTGCAGTGGGGACCCAGCCATGTAGCCATGCACCTGCCAGCCTGTTCCCTGACAGTGATTCCCCTTGGAGATGCTGCCCAGTCTGGGTCCAAGGGGATGCGTACGCACGGGCACAGGGGCCACCAGGCTGGGAGGGACCATTCACAAGCCACAGTGGCCTCACGTGGAGAAGGACTCGGCCTCCTTGCCAGCATCGTAGCTCACACACACATAGTCACAGGATAGCCACTGGGTCAGGTCACATGACTGACTCCTGAGACAGAATCAAGACAGGAGGGCGCAGCACCCACAGGGAGCAGGTGGTAGAGTCTGGCGCCTCCCGAAGCCGCTACCTCTATACACAGCTTCAGCCTGTGCCTTTCACTGACCCTCCAAACCACCCCTAGGTGTGGGTTTTACCCAGAGCCCTCTGACTTTGGGGGTTGGGGCAGCAGGCCATCAGTGACCCCTGTGGCCTAGAGCACAAGACTCCATGTCCACTGTCCTGTTTCTGCATCGAATCTGTCACTGTACTGTGGGTCCTCGAAACTTTGGTGTTCCTGGGTATGTGGTGCTGTGTCTGTTTCGGCCTGGAGACATAGCCAATCTGTCTCCATCGTATGGGGGCTCATAAAATATGACAGAGAACACAGAGGCCAAAGTGTACATGCATAGAATCAATGAGTGGATGCATGCATTGGTGGGTGGGTGCACAGATGCATGGATGCATGTATTGATGGATGGGTGGGTGGGTGGGTGGGTGGGCGGATGAATGGGCAGAAGTGATTGACATATGTGTTCAGGGGACAGACATGAGTACCACACAGGTGGCTCTGTCACTACCCTTGCCAGCACAGGGAAGTGAGCCGCTGTCCTGGGACTCCAGGCCTTTGATGCCCATCTGTCCTCCAGCTCCAGTGGCTTCTGGATAATTACGAGACAGCGGAGGGCGTGAGCCTGCCCCGCAGCTCCCTGTACAACCACTACCTGCGCCACTGTCAGGAGCACAAGCTGGAGCCTGTCAATGCCGCGTCCTTCGGCAAGCTTATCCGCTCTGTATTCATGGGCCTGCGCACGCGGCGCCTGGGGACCAGGTGGGTGACAGCGACCAGGGCTCCCCAGAGCCCACAGGCCCAGTTCCAGCGGAAGCTTCTTGACTTGCAGTCGCCCGGAGTGGGGGTGGGGTACGCTAGGAGGAGATGGGTTTCACTCTCATTTTGTAAATTTTGTTGTTGGGTTTTTTGCTTGTTTATTTGTATTGTGGGTTTTTTTTTTTTTTTGATGTTTTGTTTTGTTTTTGAGACTGGATCTCACTAAGTAGCCCAGGCTGGCCTTGAGCTCCCAGAGATCCACCCATTCCGGCCTCCTGAGTACTGGGATTAAAGGTGTGCACCACCACCCAGCTTCACAGCTCTTTTTGAAACCGTCAGTCATTCTGCCTTGCCCTCCTGAGTGCTGCGGTAGCCAGCCTGCATGCTGTCCAGTCACGGGGTCACTGTGCACTAGCAAAAGTGGGTTCTCCTTAGGAACAGATGAAGGAGGAAGGCACTGGGGGACAGTGGCAGAGGATAGCCATCTCTGCCATGAAGGCCAGCTTCCAGGCTGGGGCTCATCTGTCCGTGTGTTGCCCGAGCGTGGCAGGGTCACCTCCTCCTGCCTAGTGTGGTGCTGCACAGCTGCCTCCCAGCACGCAGGATGTGTGGGCAGGCTCCTGGGCTACAGTGCATTCAGGCCAGCTGGGAGACAGGGGCTTGGGGAAGATTCGGGAGACTGGGGAGATTGGGGAAGAATCGTCAGCCATAAACATAGTCGGCAGATCTGGGCTGGACACAGCTGGCCTTTCCTACAATGCCAGCTGCCTCCCCATCAGTGGCTACTGCGTGTAGAATGTCCCCACACAGTGCCTACCTTGTGCTGATTTGTTTCCAGGGGCAACTCGAAGTACCATTACTATGGGATCCGCCTGAAGCCGGACTCCCCTCTGAACCGACTGCAGGATGACACACAGTACATGGCCATGAGGCAGCAGCCCACACACCAGAAGCCCAGGTAGGTGACGCCGGCCACGCTGCCGGACCTGCAGCCCCAGACCTAGGGTGCCACCACAGTGTCTCCCAAACATGGCAGGCAAGACAGGCCATTCTCCAAGTCTCCTGCTCTGCCTCTTGTGTGTTTGGGCAAATACACAGTGGCGTGTGCTGTCAGATGCGGGGATCGTGTCCTCCGCTGTGCCGCCTCCCACCCAGACCTTGCCAACGCTAATTTTTCATTTATTTTCTTTTTGGGTGTCTATATTTCTGATATTTTCTAGAAGACCACGTAGTTGAAACCACAGACCCTAATTGTCTTGTTTTATTGAGGTGTTGAGGACCTCAAATATTCTAGGAGGGGGCAGAGCTCCCCAGCTCCTCACAGGAGGATTCAAGACTAGGGCTACACCTGTGACCACGCCCCCAACCCCTTCCTGGGGGTTCTGGGCGTGGCTCCACCCTGACCACGCCCCCAGCCCCTCATTGGTTCCTTCCAGAACCAGCAAGACAGAAGCAAGCCTTCACCCTTGTCAAGGGACCTTCCAGATAGCTCATGTGCACCTCCGAGTACATTCTCCCTCCCCCAGGAGGCCTCAGCACATCCATCCCACACAGTGCTGCCTAGGCCTCAAGGTGGCACATATGTCCCCTGACCAGGTACCGACCAACCCAGAAGTCAGACAGCCTTGGGGACAGTGGCGCTCATAGCAGCCTGCATGGCACACCCGAGCAGGCCATGGCCACTCAGGGCCAGCATCACCAGCAGTACATAGGTGAGCATGGGACCTGTTCCGCCATGTAGGAACTTCTAGATGAACCGTCTTCCTGATATCATTGGGATTCCGGAATGATGGCTGTGTGCCCAAACAACAGCTAATTATTAGTGACCCTTCTGTACCCCATGCTGACTGTGAACCCCCAGTCCTCCCGAGTGCTGGGGTGACCGGTCTGTGGTACTGCGGGTGGGACCCAGGGCCCCGTGCATCGCAGCAAGTGTTCTAGCCAGGATCCAAGCCCAGCCTGTGTTGTCTCCTGGAGCCTGTATGTGTGACATGACATGTATGTGTTGTCTCTTCCAGATGTGTCCCACGTCTTCCCAGAATTCCCAGCCCCTGACCTGAGCAGTGTGCTGCTGCAGGAGAGTATCACCCCTCATGATGTGAAGGCCCTGCAGCTGGTGTATCGCAGGCACTGTGAGGTGACGCCCTACTTGGCCAGACCCACCCCCCACCTGCAACTCCCAGGCACCACTGCCAGATCTGGGTCCCGTACCCACCCCCCCAACAGGGCCCTCTCCTGGGCACCGCCTCTGCCCACTCTCTCTCTCTCACTAGCCCCTTGGGGACCTCAGAAAGTCCCACTGCTTCCCAGCGCACCAGGCATGTGACTGGGCCTATCCCCTGACAGGCCGTTCTGCTCCTAGGCCACCTTAGACGTCGTCATGAACCTCCAGTTTCAGTACATCGAGAAGCTGTGGTTATCCTTTTGGAACTGCAAGGCCACCTCCAACGATGACCGTGCCTCGCTGCCTTCCAGGTGACACCCCAACCCCAGGACAGGGCAGGCAAATGTTCAGGCTGTATGCTCCCCAGTTTAACCCCAAGTCAATCTCCTGATCCCTTCCCTGTGTCTAAGCTGCCTGAGACATCGCCTAGACACCCCTTCTCCCACGTCCTGCCAGCGCCTTCCTTCTCCAGCACCCTGTTCTGCTGTTGGACTGGGGAGCCAGGGCCTTGGCACATGCTGGGCAGGGCGTCTTACCCCGAGTCATGCTCCCAGCTCTCTTGCCATAGCCCAGACTGGGGATGGCTTTGTCATCCTCCTGCCTCGGGTTCCTGAGAGTCAGGATAATGGCCTTGGGCTACCATGTTGTGAGCTAGTGCAGCAACTGCAGTGACTGCGTTACCTGAGCCACAGGCAGAGAGGGAGCAGTGCCGCTTCGTGGGGAACCAGAGGCCCCAATCCTGGTCCCTGCCCTGTCACTTTGTGCTCACTGTGTCCCCTCCCCCTCCCACAGCGACGAGGAGCCAGAAGTCACCCTCCTCCCAAAGGACAAGCTCATCTGTCTGTGTAGGTGCGAGCCAATCCTGCAGTGGATGCGCAGCTGCGACCACATCCTGTACCAGGCGCTGGTGGAGACCCTTATCCCAGACGTGCTGCGGCCTGTCCCCAGTAAGCCACCCCGTCCTCAGGCCCTGTCCCCAGAGCCACCACTCAGCCCTGTGGTTCCCTCACCTGCCGACTCCTCCCCATTCCTGACCCCCGGGGACTCTGCCAGGCAGCAGGGTGCCAAGAGCTGGCCAGGGCAGGTGCCCGGGCTTTCCAGAAGGTTCCCTGAAGGGTAGGTAAGGGCAGCCAAGAGTCACCTATTAGGAAAGCCATTGTGGCCACCTCATTTTCAAGGGCATTGCCATGGGCACAAGGGATGTTTGCTAGAGACAGCCAGGACCTGCACAGGCCCTTCCGGCCTCAGTGCCACAACCCCAGAGTGGGCAAGGAGCCCAGCTTCAGCTTTGAACACCTTCTCTGAAGACAAGCTGTGTGTATGTGGGGCTTGGCCAGGGTACCATTCTGCCTCTCAGTAAGACAGTGATGTTGAACACATATTTTCTTTAAATAAAATAAATTAAAATTAAAAAAACACTAAAATCAGTCTGATAATAAATTAAAATCAAAATTGAAAATATTATAAATTGCCTAATAATCCACGCATGGTGGCACACACCTGTTATCCCAGCACTCAGGAGGCAGAGGCAGGAGGATCTCTGCATTCGAGACAGCCTGGGTTACAGAGTGAGTTCCAGGATAGCCAGTAGAGAGACCCTCTCCCAAAAACAAAAACAGGAAGTCCAGTTTTTTTCTTACAGCAGGTCAGGATAAAATAAATTTGGATATTGACAGAATACACTTTGTATATATGTGTGTGCGTGTGTATGTCTATATGCACTGTGCCTATGAGTGAGTGTGTGTGTGTGTGTGTGTGTGCGCGCGCGCGTGCGTGTCTGACCCTGAGGCCGTGATACTGGGAACGTGTGCATCTTGATTGTAGGGCAGTTCAGGCAGTGCTGGGTGCTGGGCAAGTGTCCCTGGTCTCCATGCCAGGAGCTCCATAACCGTGACCGCCATGCGTGCTCTACCCCACTTACCCTGAGCCTCTGATTCCCACCTCCAGGTTCTCTGACCCAGGCCATCAGGAATTTCGCCAAGAGCTTAGAGGGCTGGCTCATCAGTGCCATGAGCGGCTTCCCTCAGCAGGTCATCCAGACTAAGGTACCAGCACAAATGGGTCCGTGGGACCCCTCGGCCTTTACAGTGACAGGAATACCCCTGTACCCCTCAGGTCACCTCCCCTATGTGTCTGGGGATGTTGTGAGGGTGGAGGAGCTGGTGGGGAGAGGGCCATGGAGGCGACAGAGGTGACGCTCCTGGTCACTGCAGAGTGGACAGCTCCGACTTCCATCTCCTCCCAGCCATAAATCAGAGTCTTCACTATAAACCTGGGCCTCGGCGTGAAGTGCAAGTGAGGCCCTGGCAGTCCAGGACATGTGTACAGGGCTGCGGGGGCCCGGGGCTGAGGAGGCAGCTCAGGAAATAACGTGTTTGCCACACAAATGTGAGGACCTGAGTTTGAGCCCCGGCACCACAAGAGCTGGGAGGCAGAGATGGTTCCTGGGGGCTCGCCGGGCCAGCTTCAGGGAGATTGGCTCAGAAAATGCAATGCAGGAGCCGGCAAGATGACTCAATGGGTAAAAGCACTTGCCACCAAGTCTGATGACCTGCATGCAATTCCTGGGACCCACATGGTAGAAGAAGAGAACCAGCTCCTCACCCTCTGACCTCTACACGCATACCATTACATGTGTGCACCTGGACACACATAAGAAAAACTAGGGTGGAGAGAGAAGACCCCCAGCCTCTGACCACCACACACACACACACACATACACACACATGGTGGACCTGAGGGTTCTAGGCCCCCACCTCTCCTTAGCCCAAAAGTTCTTTCGACTCGTGATCCTCCTGCCTCAGTTCCCTGAGTGCTTGGACATCCCTCTGCACCAGGATCTGCATCTTTACCATCTACTGAGGCCTCTAGAAGCAGGGACAACCACACCACCAGGAAGGAAAGCCCTTAGAGGTTCTCCATGATGAGCCAGCTGGCGGCAGTTGAGACCTTCATGCATGCCTCCCGCCCCCAGTCCTTATGTATGGGTCCCTTGCCTGTCGTAGCAGTGCCGTGGAGGAAGGGCAGTGTGGCTGGAGGCACAGTGGGTCATGCACTGAGCAGTGCCTGGAGACAGTCTGCCATGGTGGAGCTGCTCTGCTCACAGTAGGATAGGTTTTTTTCGTCTCAGTTTTGCAATCTGGCTAATTCCTCAAGGGCCGAATGAAGTGTGTCTCTGTTAGGCCAACATGTAAGACGCCCGCACAGGTGGTGTCACAGGCCCCCTTACCTACAGGTTCCTCTGCCCCGCCCCTTCCTCCCTCTGACATCCCTAGTCCTACAGGCCTGCCGGGAGCAGGGTGATGAGGTGCGCACAGGTGTGCCAGCGTTTGCTGCCTGTTCCCACATCCCTCATGCAGGGCCTCTGCTGACTGTGTTACCGCGTCCCTCACAGGTGGGCGTCGTGAGCGCCTTTGCACAGACCCTGCGGCGCTACACGTCCCTCAACCACCTGGCTCAGGCGGCACGCGCTGTGCTGCAGAACACGTCGCAGATCAACCAGATGCTGAGCGACCTCAACCGCGTGGACTTTGCCAACGTTCAGGTGACTTGGCAGTGCTGTCTGCTTGCCCTGTTGTGCTCCACTGGGTGCTCACCGCGCAGGCTGGCCCGCAAACCCACAGCTGCGCCGCAGCGGGCAGCCATCCCTCCCTGGCCTGTACATCGGCAGTGGGAAGCCTGAGGCTGGCTCGTGCCCCACCTGCCCGCCTTGCTGTGGTGCAGATTCGCTTTGTAGCTGGCTTAGCCAGCCGCACTCCTGTCTGCTCACATTCCAAACACTCCTAGCCGCTGGCCCTTGTGTGCCTGACTCTGTCTTGCCAGAAAAGTGCACACCGTGGCAAGGCTGACACCAGTCTGTCAACACACACATCTGTGCCCTGAGGAAGGACCCCTGTGAGGCTCAGTGACACACTCCTGTCACTGTCCACAGAATAAGACACTGCCCTTTCCCTAAAAAAGAAAGAAAGAGGCGGGGATGTGAAAGAAGAGAAAAACAGTAGGCGAGGGAGGGGCCTCTGAGCAAGCGTGACCCCAAGCGAGCAGCCGCACAACAGCCCGCGCCTGTAATGTCCGTGCTGAGGTGGGATGGGAGGTACCCCAGGGCTTCCTGACCACCAAGTCACCAAGCCCAGGTGCAAACAAACCCATCTCAAATGAGGAGACTGAGACAGAAGGTTGGACGTCTTAGGCCAACCTCTGGGCTTCTTCTTGAGACTCTGTTGATAAGTAAGGAAAGCTGGAGTGAGGCTCAGCAGGCAGAGCCCCGCCTAGCACGCAGGGCTCCATCAGCCCATCAGGTCAGGAGTTCAGGGTCACCCTCGGCTACACCCACAGTGTAAGGCCAGCCTGGGCTACGTGAGACCCGGCCTCAAGTAAACACAGCAGAGAATCCCCCAGAGCCTCACACACTACCCCTTCCCAGGAGCAGGCCTCATGGGTGTGCCAGTGTGAGGAGAGCCTGGTGCAGCGTCTGGAGCATGACTTCAAGGTGACCCTGCAGCAGCAGAGCTCACTGGACCAGTGGGCCAGCTGGCTGGACAACGTGGTCACCCAGGTGCTGAAGCAGCATGCAGGCAGTCCCAGCTTCCCCAAGGCCGCCCGCCAGTTCCTGCTCAAGTGGTCCTTCTACAGGTGAGCTGGGTAGAGGGAGGTGCCACCCCTGAAGTCCACACACCTTCTGGACCCCTGAGCCTGTAGCAGATAGGGCCATGTGGGCTGAGGGATGACTGGAACCCAGCATAGCCTCAGACAACACTGTCTCCTATGGGACCATAGAAAACAACACCTGAAACTTCTGGATGGTGAGCTGGCTTTAGGGCCTTGAAGACTCTAAGATGCAGGGAGAGAGAAAGCCAGGGAGGGCGGGGGCACCTGAGTTCTGCTGTCCCCACAGAGTCGCCCTGCCAGGCCTGGCACACCAGGTGCACATCTGTGACAATTAGCCTCAAATACATTCAAACCCTGTGGAAACACAAGAGATGAGACTGTGGGCCAGCAGATCAGAAAACCCCAGGGATGGCGGTGTCCTGGTCAGGGACTAGTGCTGCGACAACATGCCGTGACCACGGCAACTGTGGGGACAGGGTTTCTTTGTCTTAGATGTCCAGGTCCATCACTGAGGGAAGTCAGGACAGGAAGTCACACAGAGCAGGAACCTGGAGGAGCTGGTACAGAGACCATGGAGGGTGCCACTTACTGGCTTGCTCAGCCTGCTTTCTTTTCTTGTTATTTTTTTTTTAAGTTCATTTATTTATACTTTATATTTGAGTGCTCTGCATGTCTGCCTGCACACCAGAAGAGGGCACCAGATCTCATTATAAATGGTTGTGAGCCACCGTGTGGTTGCTGGGAACGGAACTCAGGGAATTGAAAAGCAGCCGGTGCTCTTAACCACTGAGCCATCTCCAGGCCAAGCCTGCTTTCTTATAGAACCTAGGATGGGCTGGACCCTCCCCCATCAATCACTAAATGAGAAAATACCCTACAGCTGGATCTCATGGAGGCATTTCCTCAACTGAGGCTCCTTCCTCTCTGATGACTCCAGCTTGTGTCAAGTTGACATGAAATGAGTCAGCAGGGCGGGGCAGAAACTCAGGCCGGGGTCAGAACTGCAGCTCAAGGGGAAACGGCTGTTTCTGCATGAGGTTTTTCCTAGGGCGGGTGAGATGCAGCACCAGACTGCTCCCTCAGTCACATGCGCCACGGGAAACTGGGAAAGTCAATAGGGAAGGGGTCATGGAGTAAAACATGAACTGGTGCTGTTTGCAAGGCTGAGGCAGGGGGATCTAAGTTCAACATGAGCCTGGGCCACAGAATAAGACACTGCCCTTTCCCTAAAAAAGAAAGAGGCGGGGATGTGAAAGAAGAGAAAAACAGTAGGCGAGGGAGGGGCCTCTGAGCAAGCGTGACCCCAAGCGAGCAGCCGCACAACAGCCCACGCCTGTAATGTCCGTGCTGAGGTGGGATGGGAGGTACCCCAGGGCTCCCTGACCACCAAGTCACCAAGCCCAGGTGCAAACAAACCCATCTCAAATGAGGTAGACGGAGCTGGAGAGATGCCCAGCAGCAGCTGCTCTGGAGTCCCAGCACACACATGGGGCTCCCAGCTGTAACTGCAGTTCCAGGCAGTGGCCTCTTGGGGCGCTGCATCCTCAGGGTGCGCTTTACAGGCAGGCATGGTGATTTTAAAAAAAAAAAAGGTGTCTGTCAATCACCATAGGAGGACAAAACAAGATAGTCCATGACAAATCTAGATTTCACCAATACCTACCCACAAACCTAGCCCTACACAAAATACTAGAAGGAAAACTCCACCCCAAGGAAGATGGCTACACCAACAAAAACACAATTGGTAATCTCATAAAGCAAATCCTGAAGAAGAAAAAAAATGCACAAATTAACATCACCAACGATGAAAACTAAATTAACAAGAGATAGCAACCACTGGTCATTAACATCCCTTAATGTAAATGGACTCAACTCACCTATAAAAAGGCACAGGCTAACAGATTGGATACGAAAACAGAATCCATCCCTCTTCTGCATACAAGAAACGCATCTCAACCTCAAAGACAGACATCTTCTCAGAGTAAAATTTGGGAAAAAATATACCAATCAAATGGACCTAAGAAACAAGCAGGTGTAGCTATCCTAATATCTAACAAAATAGACGTAAGGCTAAAATCAGTCAAAAGAGACAAAGAAGGACATTTCATATTAGTCACAGGAAAAATCCATCAGGAGGAAATTTCAATACTGAACATCCATGCCCCAAATACAAAGGCACCCTCATATGTCAAAGAAAAACTTCTAAAGCTTAAATCATACATTAAACCCCACACACTAAGAGTGGGAGACTTTAACACTCCCCTCTCACCACTGGACAGGTCAAGCAGACAAAAAATGAACAGAGAAATAAGAGAACAGATGTTATGACTCCAATGGACTTAACAGACATCTATAGAATATTCCATCTAAACAGAAAAGAATATACCTTCTTCTCAGCACCTCATGGAACCTTCTCAAAAATTGACCACATACTCGGTAACAAAACAAACCTCAACAAATAGAAAAAAAATGGAATAACTCAATGTACCTTATCAGATCACCATGCTTTAAAACTAGACGTCAACAGCAATACTAATTCCAGAAAACCCACAAACACATGGAAATTAAACAATGCTCACATGGATCAAGAGAGAAATAAAGGGGGAAAGTAAAGACTTCTTGAAATTCAGTGAAAATGACCACACAACATACCCAAATATATGGGACACAATGAAATCAATGTTAAGAAGCAAGTTCATAGCACTAAATGCCTACATAAAGAAGCTGGAAAAATTCCACACTAGTGAATTAATAAAACGTTTGAAAACTTTAGAACAAAAAGAAGCAAACTCACCTAAGAGAACTAACTAGACGTCAGTAAATAGCCAACTTGAGAGCTAAAATCAACAAAACAAAAACAAAACAATACAAAGAATCAATGAGACAAAGAGTGGGTTCTTCCAGAAAATCAACAAAATAGACAAACCTTTATCCAAACTAACCAAAAGGCAGAGAGAGAATATCCAAATTAACAAAATCAGAAATGAAAAGGGGGACATATCAACAGACATGGAGGAAATACAGAGGATCATCAGGTCATATTTTGAAAACCTGTACTCCACAAAATTGGAAAAGGAAATGGACAACTTTCTGGATAAATATCACTTACCAAAATTAAATCAAGACCAGATAAGCAAATTAAACAAATCTATAAGTGCTGAAGAAATAGAAATAGTCATCAAAAGTCTCCCAACCAAAGAAAGCCCACGACCAGATGGTTTCAGCTCAGAATTCTAAAAGACTTTCAAAGAAGAACTAATACCAATACTCCTCAAATTATTCCACACAATAGAATCAGAGGAAACATTGCCAAACACTTTTTATGAGGCTACAATTACCCTGAAACCACATTACTAAGAAAGAGAATTACAGACCAATCTCACTCATGAACATTGATGCAAAAATTCTAAATAAAATACTGGCAAATCGAATCCAAGAACACATCAGAACCATCATCCACCATGACCAGGTCGGCTTCATCCCACAGATGCAGGGATGGTTCAACATACGAAAATCTGTCAACGTAATTCACCACAGAAATGAGCTGAAAAATAAAAACCACGTGATCATCTCATTAGATGCCAAAAAAACATTTGACAAAATACAACATCCCTTCATGATAAAGGCCATGAGAGAGCAGGGATACAAGGAACATACAGCAATATACAGCAAGCCAACAGCCAACATCAAACTAAATGGAGAGAAACTCCCAGTGATTCCACTGAAATCAGGAACAAGACAAGGTTGTCCACTCTCTCCATACCTATTCAATATAGTTCTTAAGGTCCTAGCTAGAGCAATAAGACACCAAAGGGAGATTAAGGGGATACAAATTGGAAAAGAAGTCAAACTCTCACTGTTTGCTGATGATATGATAGTTTACATAAGTAATCCCAAAAATTCTACCAAGGAACTTCTACAACTCATAAACACTTTCAGCAATGTAGTAGGATACGAAGTTAACTCAAAAAAATCAGTAGCCCTCCTGTACACAGTTGATCAAAGGGCTGGGGAAGAAATCAGAGAATCAACACCCTTCACAATAGCCACAAATAGCATAAAATATCTCAGAGTAACTCTAACCAAACAAGTGGAAGACTTGTATGGCAAGAACTTTAAATCTTTGAAGAAAGAAATTGAAGAAGACACAAGAAAGTGGAAAGACCTCCATTGCTCTTGGGTAGGCAGAATTAATATAGTAAAAATGGCAATCTTACCAAAATCAATTTACAGATTCAATGCAATGCCCATCAAAATCCCAGCAAATTTCTTCAAAAACCTCGAAAGAATGTTACTCAACTTCATTTGGAAAAGCAAAACACCCAGGATAGCCAAAACAATCCTGGGCAATAAAAGAACTTCTGGAGGCATCACAATCCCTGACTTCAAACTCTACTACAGAGCTACAGTACTGAAAACAGCCTGGTATTGGCATAAGTGTAGAGAGGAGCTGTGGGCCACTTCCCTGCCGCCCCAGCTCCTGGCCGCCAACTAGCTCTAGCTTATGCCCGAAATAATTACACGGAAACTGTATTCTTTTAAACACTGCCTGGCCTGTAAGTTCCAGTTTCTTATTGGCTAGCTCTTACATATCGATCGAAGCCATTTCTAATAATCTGTGTAGCCCACAAAGTGGCTTACCAGAGAAGATCTTAACCTGCATCTGTCTGGAGTGGGAGAATCATGGCGACTCCTCGCTCAGCTTCTTTCTCCCAGCATTCTGTTCTGTTTACTCCGCCTACCTAAGGGTTGGCCTATCAAATAGGCCTAGGCACTTTCTTTATTAATAAGAAATCACTCCCACATCACATAAGAACAGACCAGAGGACCAATGGAATTGAATAGAAGACCCAGATATCAATCCACACATCTTAAAACACCTGATCTTTAATAAAAAAGCAAAACATAATCAAATGGAAAAAGAAAGCATATTTAACAGGTGGTGCTGGCATAACTGGATATCAACATGTAGGAGAATGAAAATAGACCCATATCTATCACCATGCACAGAACTCAAGTCCAAATGGATCAAAGACCTCAACATAAAGCCAGCCACACTGAACCTTATAGAAGAAAAAGTGGGAAGTATACTTGAATGCATTGGCACAGGGAACCACTTCCAAAATAGAACCCTAGCAGCACAGACACTGAGAGAAACAATTAATAAATGGGACCTCCTGAAACTGAAAAGCTTCTGTAAAGCAAAGGACATGGTCAACAAGACAAAACGACAGCCTACAGAATGGGAAAAGACCTTCACTAACCCCACATCAGACAGATCCTCAAAATATACAAAAAATTCAAGAAATTGGACACCAATAGATCACATAATCCAATAAAACAAATGGAGTACAGACCTAAACAGAGAACTCTCAACTAGGAATCTATAATGGCTGAAAGACACTTAAGGAAATGTTCAACATCCTTAGTCATCAGAGAAATGCAAAGATTCCATCTTACACCCGTAAGAATGGCCAAGATCAAAAACACTGATGACAACTTATGCTGGAGAGGTTGTGGGGAAAAGGGAACACTTCTGCATTGCTGGTGGGAATGAAAGCTGGTACAGCCCCTTTGGATGTCAGTGTGGCAATTTCTCAAAAAAAATGGAAACAACCTTCCTTAAGACCCAGAGTTAAACAAATGCAACAGGGGCTGGAGAGATGGTTCAGTGATTAAGAGCATTGCCTTCTCTTCCAAAGGTCGTGAGTTCAATTCCCAGGAACCACATGGTGGCTCACAACCATCTGTAATGAGGTCTGGTGCCCTCTTCAGTCATACACGCAGGAAGAATATTGTGTACATAATAAATGAATAAATAATTTTTAAAAAAAAGACCCAGTAATATTACTTTTGGGTATACAAAGGATGCTCAATCGTGCCACAAGGACATGTGCTCAACTATGTTCATAGCAGCTTTGTTTGTCATAGCCAGAACCTGGAAACAACCTAAATGCCCCTGGACTGAAGAATGGATAAGGAGAATGTGGTACATTTACACAATGGAGTACTGATGGAGGAAGGTCATTGGTTAATTAATAAAGAAACTGCTTGGCCTCATAGGTTAGAACATAGGTGGGTGGAGTAAACAGAACAGAATGCTGGGAGAAAGAGGAAGTGAGCTCAGATGCCATGTTCCCCTCTCCCGGGCAGACGCGATGAAGCTCCGACCCAGGATGGACGTAGGCTAGAATCTTCCCGGTAAGCGCACCTTGGGGTACTCCACATATTGTTAGAAATGGGCTAGTCCAGGTACGAGTGTTAGCCGAGAAGAGGCTAGAGCTAATGGGCCAAGCAGTGTTTAAAAGAATACAATTTGTGTGTTGTTATTTCGGGGCATAAGCTAGCCAGGTGGCCAGGAGCCAGGCTGTGGGAAGAGGCCCGCAGCTCTTACTACAGAGTACTACACAGCAGAAAAAAATAATGACAGCTTGAATTTTGCAGGAAAACGGATGGAGCTAGAAAACATTATTTTGAATGAGGTAACCCAGACACAGAAAGACAGTTATCACATGTACTCACTTATAGGTGGTTTTTAAACATAAAGCAAAGAAAGCCAGCCTACAAACCACATTTCCAGAGAACTTAGACAACAATGCAGACACTAAGAGAGACTTACATAGATCTAATCTATATGGGAAGTAGAGAGTATAAAAAGACAAGATCTCCTGAAATTGGGAGCATGGGGACCTTGGGGAATGATTGGAGGGGGAAGGGGAGAGGCAGGGAGGGGAACAGAGAAAAATACAGAGCTCAAATATCAATTTAAAAAGTAGGTGTCGGGCTGGAGAGATGGCTCAGTGGTTAAGAGTGTTGCCTGCTCTTCCAAAGGTTCTGAGTTCAATTCCCAGCAACCACATGGTGGCTCACAGCCATCTGTAAAGAGGTCTGGCGCCCTCTTCTGGTCTTCGGGCATGCACACAGAATATTGTATAATAAATAAATAAATATTTAAAAAAAAAAAAAAAGTAGGTGTCTGGGCTGGAGAGATGGCTCAGTGGTTAAGAGCATTGCCTGCTCTTCCAAAGGTCCTGAGTTCAATTCCCGGCAACCACATGGTGGCTCACAACCATCTGGAATGAGGTCTGGTGCCCTCTTCTGGCCTGCAGACACAGACAGAATATTGTATACATAATAAATAAATAAATAAGTAAATAAATAAATATTAAAAAAAAAAGTAGGTGTCTGTGTGTGGCGCAAGCCTTTAATCCCAGCACTCTGTGAGTTCAAAGCCTGCCTGGTCTACGGAGCAAGAGAGACAGACAGACAGATAAATGTATTTATTTGTTTATTTATTTATTTATTTATTATTTATTTATTTTGTTTTTTTCGAGACAGGGTTTCTCTGTGGCTTTGGAGCCTGTCCCGGAACTAGCTCTGTAGACCAGGCTGGCCTCAAACTCACAGAGATCCGCCTGCCTCTGCCTCCTGAGTGCTGGGATTAAAGGTGTGCACCACCACCACCCCGGCGTAAATATATTTTTTAAAAAAGTTAAAAACAAAGCAGAAAGGTGACAGTGAAGCACTGGGGTTGCTGCCTTCTACCCACCCATGTCTCCCTCCTTCCCTGTGTGTTTTTGGGGGTGGAGGCCGTCCTCACAGCGCTTGGCCCCAGGCTCAGAGCTTTCCCTGTCTCTGCCCAGCTCCATGGTGATCCGGGACCTGACCCTCCGCAGTGCTGCCAGCTTTGGCTCCTTCCACCTCATCCGGCTGCTGTATGATGAGTACATGTTCTACCTGGTGGAGCACCGTGTGGCTCAGGCCACTGGGGAGACGCCCATTGCCGTCATGGGCGAGGTGAGACAGGGAGGCCCACCCAGACACCCTCACACTGGCTCAGGTCTCTCAAAGCCCCTGGAATTCTCCACAAAGTAGCTCACGCCTGTCTCTAACTCCATCTCCCGGGGATCCAGCATCCTCTTCTGGCCTCTGTAGGTATTGCACACACACACTTAGACTAAAGGCAAAGAAATGAAGCCATGCTTGTAATTTGCATGGGCCGGCATCAGGACCCCCAAGAACACTGTGTCACTCTGCCCAGTAGTCTCGAGTCACCCTCAGGACCCGGCAGAGGCAGCTCTGGCTATGTCACGGCGGTTTGACTGACATCTCAGGCCCCTCCCTTCTCTTACAGTTCAATGATCTGGCCTCCCTGTCGCTGACCCTGCTGGACAAAGGTGGGTGTGTTCCCTGGCTCGCTCCCTTGCATGACTATGAGCAGAGCAACTGTGACAGCCTCTGGGGTGGGTTGGGGACCCCAGGAGCTGGCATGCAGGTGGTGGGAATCCTGGCCATTTGCTGTGGGCCCCTGTGACGCCCTGTAATAGCTTAATGGGGTATGAGAAGAGTTCATTGCTGGCCAGACTGGGTAGCACCCCAGGCTAGTGGCCACAGGAGACCCTGGTGCACCTAGATGGTGAGGCAGGACGTGGGGGTGCACCTGGGTAGTCAGGCAGGACATGGGGTGCACCTGCATGGTCAGACAGGACGTGGGGTACACCCGCATGGTCAGGCAGGACGTGGGGTGCACCCGCATGGTCAGGCAGGATGTGGGGGTGCACCCGCATGGTCAGGCAGGATGTGGGGGTGCACCCGCATGGTCAGGCAGGATGTGGGGGTGCACCCGCATGGTCAGGCAGGATGTGGGGGTGCACCCGCATGGTCAGGCAGGATGTGGGGTGCACCCGCATGATCAGGCAGGATTGGGGTGCACCCGCATGGTCAGGCAGGACATGGGATGCACCCGCATGGTCTCAGGCAGGACATGGGATGCACCCATGGTCAGGCAGGATGTGGGGGTAAGTGGAAAGTCTTACAGGCCACTGTGTTCTTACTGTCCCTTCTGTCCCCTCACCCCTGCAGAGGACATTGGGGATGGACGCAGCAGTGAGGCAGATGTGGATGGCTGCAGCCTGGGCGAACCTCTGGTGAAACGGGAACGCAGTGACCCCAATCACCCACTACAGGGCATCTAGCCCCTTCCCTGGCACCTTCCACGCACTTCCGGAAGGCGTTGCCTGGCCCTCCAGGGATCTGGACTCTCAGCCTCTCACACTAGTGCCTCTTAGACAGTGCCATGTTTACTGTGACCCACGGTGCCCACCCCAGAGGCCAGAGACTGTGGGGAATGCTGGTGGCCGCTCAAGCTGCCCACACCCTGCTAAGGTATCCCCAGGAGATACAGGGATCCATCTGTCCCTTGTCCCAACACCTTCCCTGCTCCATGTACAAGTTGTGAGGCATATCCCTCCAAATACCCCAGCTGCCCCCATGGCTTTTCCACTCAGCTGCTCTCAACTTAGACCACCATGTCAAAGAAAACCTAACCCTCGCTGGGCACTGGCCCCATGCTCTGTTCCATGCACCTCATGGCCTCTCATGGACAGGCGAGGCCTCCAGGTGCAGGCCCTGGCCCTATATGGATCACAGATGCTAAGACATCCTGTCTTACCCTGGACAGGTCCAAGTCCAAGAAGAAAACAGGCACCTGTGTCAGCCTGTCAAACTGTCCAGTTTAGGGTCGACACCACACTAGCCCAGGGCTGGGTCTAAGCTGGGTTTGCCCAATTGGCCGCAGCGGTCAGCACCATGTCCACACTTCCCAGCAGCATCCTGCAACCTGTGTACACCACAGTGCCTGGGTCCCTGAAGTCTTCCAGACAACACCCCAAACAAGTTATGCTGCCTTCTCTGGCCTGTGGCTGACCCCTTCTCAACCCCAGACCCCAAAATCTCTGGGAACGAATGCTCACCAAGGCTGTGTGGGCCCTGAGTTCTAGACGCCCAGCACATGGCCATGCCACCTCACCACAGTTGCCATGATGGGAATTCTGCCCCAAACACAAGCTCCTCCCACAACCTAGGAAGCGCCTCATGAAATACGATAGTTTTCCTCTTTTTGAAAAAAATGTTTCCCCAATAGTTTTGTGCTGTAATTGTTCTTGGAAAGTTCTTGTGAATGTGTCCATCACAACACACCCAGAGTCTGTCTGTCTTCATTCACGCGGCACTTGTCACATGGAGCCTTCAGAGTGGCTCTCAAGGACGGTGTCCTGGGGACATGGTGCTGGCCAGGCCCGCCCTCTTGTGGAAACCAATACACACCGGTGTTTTGCCTTGCACTGTGTTGTCCTTTGTCGGGTAGGTGGGTCACCTGTGCTCCAGTCTCACGGGATCATGTAGGTACCCCCAAAACACCTTGCTTTGGGCAACCAGCCCCCTGCACTGGCCGGCTGGCTTGCCAGAGAGAGGAGGCCGAGCCCTTTGACCACTGGGTCTCTTGCTTCCAGGAGTGACAGGCTGGTGACCCTAGCAAGGTCAGCCCCGAGCTGGTGACAGCAGGACACAAGCTTGCATGGGGTGGCCCCTTCAGACACAGCAGAATAAATGCACGCTCTTGTCCCCGGCACTGGACAGGCGCCTCTCAGGGCTTTTTGTCTGTGCTGTGGTGGGCGCAAATGTCAGCTCTCCTAGGGATTTGGGGTGAGTATGTATCCCAGAAGTGGCTCTGTCCATGGAGAGCTTTTTCAGGGTGGAACTTGGAATAGGCTCCTGGGGTGGCCCCTGTTCCTTACAGGACACCCCAGGAAGGTGGACACATGACCCCCAAACCGCTGCTCGGGGGCCAGGTCCACACATCTGGGACAGCATGCTTCAGCCAGCCCAGACCCTCTAGTCCAGGAAGGAAGCCCTGGGGGATCCCCAATGGGGACAGAGGTGACATCTTAGTCCCTTCTCTGGCTGCTGTGACAAAACCAACCAGCAAAAGTGACCGAAGGCTGGGTTTGATGTGGCTCACGGAATGCAGCCAGGGTCCCGCTCCAGGCCCTGCCCCACCCCCACTCCCTTTAGGGATAGCGGTATCCACTCTCAGGAAAGCTGGGCTTGCCAGCACCTGGCCCTCAGCAGCAGCGCACAGAAATTAAGAAATGCCAGAGACTCTTGGAGTGGTGGCAGGGGTGGGGTGGCATGGGTGTGGCATTGCCATTCAGACACTCACAGGACCGGCAGCTGGGCATCGCCCTTCAGCCGAGTGTCTCCCCTTCCTGTTTTCTGGGGCAAGCTCACGGGGAGTTTAGAGCACTAATCGGCCCCGAATGGTGTGTGATGTGGAAGGCACAGGAGGACGTTGGAGGAGGTCTCTGGCTGAAACTGGAAGTAGGTGATGCCCACCGAGCCCCACCCCCACTGGCACTGTCTCCATCCCTGTGGTGCTGGGATCATCTGGCTGCAGCTTTTATCTTCAAAGAGGGGGACTCACTCTGTAGCTGGAACTCTGTAGCTCAGGCTGGCCTCAAACTCCCAGAGCGCCACCGGCCCCTGCCTCCAGCGTGCTGGTCTTGAAGGCTGGGTAGCTGCAGATTTCCTTGAGTTCCTGACCTCCTGCCCCCACTTAGCTCTGTGGTGCTGGGGGGTGCCTGCCAGTCAAAGGTCTCCCCACTGCACCCCAGCCCCTTCATCATTTATCTCAACTGGCACTTCCTGGGGGGCTCCCTGGGGTCCCCCAGCCCGATGAGGAGCACTTCCATGCCTTACGGTGTTCCCCACCCAGGATTCCCAGCTCTTGAGTGCCATCGCTCTACAGGCAAACCTCCATATCTCCCAATCCCGTCATCCCTGTGCTTAGCCAGCACTGGAGGCGGGGAGGTGCCAGGAGATGGTGGTCTCTCTTCACAGCGGAATTAAGGTGGGCTGCTCAGCGGGCAGAACGTTTGCCCATACCCAGGACCCCGGAGCTCAGGCACAGGACCTGTCAACCCAGCACTCCACAGGCAGAGGCAGAAAGAGTTCAAGGCCATTCTCAACTCCCTCAACTCCGGAGGTCTGAGGCCAGTCTGGGCTACAAGAGACCTGTCTGGAAAAAAAAAAAAAAAAAAAAAAAAAAAAACTGGGCATGGTGGTACATGCCTTGGGGAGTCTAATCCCTGTAAATTCCAGGCCAACCCAGGGCTACACACGGAGACCCTATCTCAAGAGAGAATGACAGCCATGTGGGACAGCGGCCTCGGGCTTGAGCGCAACAGAACAGGGGGTATGGAGTCAGAGGACAGCTCTGTAGAGCTGGCTCTCTCCACCTTCACACAGGTCTGGTCTGGGGATCCCTGGAGACAGACACTCTTCTGGCACCCTCAGCTTTTTGGGAAAAGCTCCCACAGCACGGCACCCTCCCCCAAAGCCTATGCCTGCCCCACAAACAAGCCAGTGGCTCTGGCAGCCATGTCCCCCATGACACAGATGTCAGCAATCACACTGAGATTGAACCCAGCTCCCCAGATACTCCATAGCCCCAAATAGCAACAGTAACCTCCCCGTGATCCCTCATGGGGACACGAGGTGTGGACAGCTGGCGGGAGTGGGGGAGAGCCACCTTCCAGGACCTCCCTTGCATACTGTGTGGCTCTGGGCAGGTGTCCACCGCTCTCTGGACTACCAAGGGAACATACAAGGGACACCTCCGCAGCACTAGGGTTACAGCCGTGAACCACCACGAGTGCTTCATGTAACACTGTGGGTGGAGCCCAGGGCCTGTGTGTAGCAACTGAGCCCTAAGTACTTTACCAACTGAACCCCAACACCCCACCCTACTGAGGTACAGTCCAACCCCTATGTCCTCATTTCTTTTGGACTGGGCTGTCCTTTGTGGCCCCAAATGACCTCCATCTCCCCTGTCCTAGCCTCCTGAATGCAGGGTAAGAGTTCAGGGTCAACCCTGACCTGAGGTTCCCGTCTGAACTCCAAAGGCACCTGGCAACTGCCAGGTCCTCCTGCAGTCTGAGCAGTACACACAGCAGAGATCAAATCGCTTTAATTGGGGGCAGCTCCCGGGTCCAGCCTGGGTCCTGTGGCAGCAGGGCCAGCCAGGCCCGCGGTCTGCCTGTGTCTGCCACCTGGTTTCCCTTTCTTGGTAGACACGGTAGTCTTCTTCCCCAACTGATCAGACTGCAGGCCGGGGGCCACGTCAGTGACAGGGACCCTCACATGGGGCAGCGGCTCATCATCTAGGGCCTTGAAGCTGAAAACATAATCCACACTCGCCACGGCATCCAAGACCTCGGGGACGCCATAGTCGAAGGACAGTAGCTCATCCGGCAGGTGCAGGGAGCGGATGTCAGCTGAGCAATCGTCCCCACCGCCACCACTGTCTCGTGGGCCAGGCCCAGAGCCCCTGTGCAGGGCCGCCTCGGGCTCAGTGCCACCAGGGAGACAATCAAAAAGTTTCATGGCATCTTCTAGAAGGACCTTGTCCGGAAGGAAGAACGCTCGGCCCACCTCGGGAGGCATGGTCTCACCCGAGCCCACTGGGGTGACATCCTCCGTCCCGACCACCTTGGGCTCCACAGGCCCAGGAGGGAACCGCAGACCCGGCCTGGCCACACCATTGCCTTGCAGCTCCCTGGGGGCTTCGAGGGGCCTCACGGTCACCTGGGGCCCTGGGAACTGGCTGGCATGGCCATTGAGATGGCCATAGGGCCCAGGTGGCAGGCCGGGTGCGGTGGGGACAGTGATGAGCAAGGAAGACGGCTTAGTCTCTTTGGGGGCTGGGAGGGGTGCCAGGCCATCTCTAAGCATCTCCATGAAATTGAGGGGCCCTCCGTCCCCCACAAAGCCCAGTGCCTCGGGACCAGGCTCCTCAGGTGGAAAGTAGTGTGTGAGGTACTGTGGCCCGCCAGGAGCCGGCTGGTAGTGGGGGTAGAGAGGAGGCGGAGGCCCTGGGGCCTTGAGGTAGGATGGGGCCTCCAGCACATAGCCACCAGACAAGGTGGGACCCCCAGCCACCGCCACCTTGTACAGAGATGACTGGCCGAAGTCAGAGGGGGCCCACTCGATCCGGTAGATGCGAGGGTCGAAGAAGCAGCCACAGGGAGCCATCTGGAAACCTGTCGGTGGTAGACACCCTGAGTGTCCATGGGGAAACCAGGCCATGGCATGGGGGCACGGGAGACATACCCCTCACCTCGACAGTGCCTTGCATATATACTGGCTTTGTTCAGTAGTCATCTGGGGACTCGTGGGGGCATGACACTCAGGGACTGTTGGGGAGACTTCTATTCTCAGGGGACCCGCGACCTGAGCTTGTGAGTGGCTGGGCCTTGTGGAAAGCCTTACCTAGGTGCAGCTGTTGTCACCAAGGCAAGCTTCGGCCTGGTCTCTAGTGGCACAGGGGTTAGTATGGGGGGATGTCTGGGGGTACAGAGGCGGCCCAAGGTCGGGGCGCCGGCCGGTACCTGCTGGAGGCCCTGAAAGCGCATCCTGGTCTGCGGGAGTCTGATAGAGCAAGCTGGCGCTGCCTGTGGACAAAGGCAGCCGGTGGGTGGGGCGGAGCCGGGCCCCAGGGCCATCATACACCCCACCCACCACTAGCATCATACCTATGGTGGGAAGGGGTTCAGGGACAGCTGGCACCTTGGTGCCCTCCAGGCCCCGTGGGCCGAAGCCTTCCTGGGGTATGGCTGGGGGGTAAATGGTTTTGGGTTGCTGCATGGGGGAGACAGGCCACCCCGGGGGGCGCCAGGTGGCAGCAGAGGCACCTTGGGGACAGAGTCCCACTGGGTTCTGTTTGCCCTGTTGCTAGGTGGAGGGTTCCAGGTCAGGGTGGGCACACCACCCAGGTTCCAGGGTGGGGGTGGACAGGACGGTGACTCCCTCCACTCCCTGGGCAGACACACCCTGGGCCAGGTCACCCCAATTCACAACTACAAGGGCACTGGCCAGCAGAACAGGATAACCAGAAGTCAGGAAACAGGGCAGACGGGGACCTGCAGGAAGAGGGAAGGACGCTGCCTCAGACATGTAAAGAAAGCTGAGCATGGTGGTGGGTGCCTGCCCAGGGTTCCAGGAGTTCAAGAAGCTTTATCTCAAAAACACAATACAGAAAAACAAGTTGTAGAAGAATAAAATTTATTGTCTCAGTTGGCTATTTGTAGGCGTTGGCTTTGTGTTTGGGCAGGAAGGCGAAGCCAGGCGGGACTGGTCCAAG